ATGAAAAGTGAAGATCTCCAGAAATAGTGTTACTTAAACGAAAAAACGGTGATTCATTCAGCGACAAAACTTTTTCCAGATTTGAGCGGAGGCATTTTGTTATCAACAATCAAACGATGGACAAAAATGATTGACACTAACGGCGCTATCCATCTATCGAAACCACACGATTCGAAACGAACCGTACGAACGAAAATCATTATTGGAAGAGTCAAACAACGGTTGGAGAAAAATACGGCGTGTGTCGTTACGGTAACTGAGTCAATACTTGGGAATATCAAGAGCAAGTGTTGGCGAATATTAAATAAAGATCTTGGATGTTTCGCCTACAAGTTGATTAAACAACCAGTCATTACTCAACTGCAAAAAACAAAAAGAATCAAATTTGCAAATTGGGTTAAAAACAACTATCAAGAATTTTCGACAAAAAAATGGTTTTTTCTGATGATTCGTTCTGGATGAGATCTACAACACTCAAAACGATCGAATTATTCGACGATTGGCGGCCCATATTACGGACCATCAGTCGTCAGGAGAAAGATAAAAAGGTTGGCGTGAAAACGAAAAGGCAATTTCCGATTAAGGTTATGGTTTGATTGGACTTGGTACATCTCGAACTGGTCTAACAAATTCGGCCATTCTGGATACAGAAACGCTTAATCGTCAGCGTTACATCAAAAACATTTTACCGATTGCAGTTAAATGTGGACATAAGGTGCTGGGAAATAGTTGAACGTATAAACAAGATGGAGTCCCTGCACACAAATGTCGTCGAACTCAACAGTAGTGTAAAGAACGTATGCCATCATTTGCACCAGTACATCGATGGCCACCAAATTCACCCGACCTGAATCCATTCGATTACAGTATTTGGAGCAAACTTGTTCAGGCTATCGAATGGTCCAGAATTACAACAAAAGCTTCATTAACTGGAGAATTAAAACATGCATTGAAAGAAATTCTAAAAACAACATGTTGTAAGTAGTTGTGACGATTTTATCAAACGCTTGTACGAGATTTTGAAAACTAATGGAGAATATACTCGTTGAATAAATACGTGAATTTGTAGAGAATTTAATGAAGAATCTTTTGGTGAAAAATCAACTTCAGCGACTTTAATGAGGAGGAGAAAATAAAAAATACTAAAGAGCCGCTCATTTCCTCTGGTCCACCTGTTACTACTAAATATGTGTGGATTGATCAATTCATTTTGCAGTGTAAAGAGCTATTTCTCTCATTCACGTTCCCTTCCTCTTTTTGTCATATGACCCATGTGTCAATCTCGCCTATTTGAAGGTATAATGCGTCGATTCTTAGTTTGGCCATCAGATATGATTTGGCCTCAAACTTTGCCCTTTGTTGCCCTCGTTCGCACATTTCATGAACCAGAATCGAGACTACAGACGAGAAAATGGTATAATTTAACTCGTTTTCGATTTTTCATTTTGTACACTTTGATCCAAATGATCTATTTCTGTTTGCCATACTATTTGATGCCAGTATTAGCAGCATTTTCATGGATGTGCATGATTAATCAAAACAATATTTTACTTTCGCAACTGACTGGATACTACGGACTTGGTATGGGTTCACTGCAGTTTGACTGGTATTCTTTATTATTATCGCCTATAATAGTACCCCTTTGGGCTCAGATGAACATTCTTAACAACTATCTGCAAAGGATGTCCGAGTACAGAAAACATATCTATTTTGCAGTTCTCGGATGAAGACATTCAGCAGATTCGTCACAAATAATATGTCGTTTAACTTTCACTTCTACCTGAACAATTTAGAAAACTTCTAGAAGCTATTTAAATAGAACAATATCAACAAGGAATGATAAAAGTATCTTTGAACTATTTCACGGTTATTGACACTGGTTTCCGATGTATGCGATGCGATTTTTCGAACTATATCTCACATTAATATATTGGTTCTTTGGATATATCCATCGCATTAGAAAATTTGGTGCTTGCTCCGCGCTGAACCAAATTGGATAAAAATTGGGCGCCAAATGCAAAATTTGTCGGTGAATCAGACAGCGGGTTCCTTATAATTACATCTTCACTTCTTTTTTGGTGTCGACATAATCAACGTGGTTTTTGCCTAAATTTTATTTTTCTCATTGGCACCTTTTTTTCAACCAACGAGAAAAATAAAATTTAGGCGAAAACCACATTGATTATGTCGACACCAAAAAAGAAGTGAAGATGTAATTATACGGAACCCGCTGTCGGATTTACCGACAAATTTTGCATTTGGCGCCCAACTTTTATCCAATTTGGTTCAGCGCGGAGCAGGCACCAAATTTTGTAATGTATCCATTTTACAAAAGGACATAATCTTATTTCGTTTTTTTCGACAGAGCCAGACGTAGCATTCGCAAGAGTATTAAAGAATTTTTCAGTTACACCTAGGTACTTACGTTGTTCACGCTTTGTCCAAGAAGGATTGAAAGTGCCAGCCAACTTCCTATTAGTTACAGACGCAGATAAATACCTCAGTATAGAACAGATTTTAAGGGGATACCACTCCTTGAGTGTAGAACAACACTGTATCTTACTGGAGCATATACATAAATACATTGAAAGTACAGGATGTTTTGCTTCATAACTCCTCATATTATCTTTCTTATCTTCGCTCAGAAATCGTGTTTGTATGTAGAAAATAATCCTCACAATTTATTATAACAATTTTGGTTTTTCCTTTCATGCGTTTATTCTTCTCTTTCTTTCTTATCTGCGTATATACCACCTGTGATGTATACCACTGGCTCATTACTCATTACCCGACGTTACTTTACTTTACCAAGTAAAGTAACAAGAATTTATTGCTTGTTACTAGTAATAAAGTGTTTTCTTTTGTGAATCTTTACTTTTGCCCTGGTAAGTTTTCTTTTGGTCAATCACTAAATTGACAGCGGTTAGCGGTACGCGAAAATAAGTTTTTGAAAGTAATTCATATCTTCCGCATGACATAATTACTAGTTCACGGAAAAACCAACATATCACAGCAGCACAACAAGGGCCAAGTATGGCCGATACTTTATCCACTTTAAATTTGTCAAATTAATACAAAGAAGTATGCAGTTTCCCAGGCGATGGAATGCGAAATGTATTTAAATGTATTTTTTACAAATGTCCTTACATGTTCTCAAAACGTCAAAGAAGTTTCAACTGGGTTTTAAAGAAATAGGTTTGAATACATTTTTCGACATAAATGTATTTACACACATTTAAAGTATAAGATTCATTTAAATACATTTCTTTACAAATCTATTCAAATCATTTTTCTAAAAATCTGTTTAACTTTCTATAGCATTTTCAAGACATTTAAACATATGCGAAAAGCACATTTGAAACCTGTTTCAACAGCCTCCTCGTTACTTTTTCGTCTGGAAATCTGCTGGTGCACTGCCTGTAGACCAGGCTCCCCCTCTGAAAAGTGAGATCCCTATGAATTTAGAAAAAGAAAGTAGCAGTCAACTTGAAAAAGAAAAGTCGTAAGTGTATAAGTTGCAGAAACGGAGCGGCGCGACACTTCCAAGGTCCCCCAAATTCCGCTTTTTCATAACAGTGTTGGCATATTGGACGAGCTCAAAATCTAAGAAAACATAACTTTATTTATATTCAAATGAAAGCAGCTTACAAGTTTGTTCGTATGATGGAACGACGAAGTCTCTAGCGCTTTTTACTACTTCATGGTAAGCATAGCCGTGAAACATACTTTGACTATTCCTAGTCTCCTCCCTCGAAAACTACACATCAGTTCTACGAGATCTTGTTAGCTCACACACTGCTCGACTAGTGCTACAAAAGGCGCTAGGCATTGAGTCTGCCAGGTTTCTTGCGGTGGTTTTCTAGAAATCCGGTCAAAATCCTCAATTGCTCATAAATATTGAATCCAAACTAATCTGAAGTTCGGATTCAGCATGTCATTTTATGTGTAATTTAGTATTTTTTCCCGTTTCTGACCCTCCCAGATGATAGGATTTTGACGGGATTTGTAGAAAACCGTCACAAGAAAAACCACCTGGCCAAAGTCAATATCTTGCGCCTTTTGTAGCTAATTGATAGAAACTCGATAGAAAGAGAACAAGAAAAAGCCAATACTAATTGATAGACTATCGATAGAGAAAGGAACAAGAAAGAACTAATAATAGTCTTATGTGTAGATATTTAATTTAAATTTTACGTCATTTAGCGATTTTCCTTGGATCTGATGTGTAATATGGGCTTTCTTTAATAATTCTTCTTCGCCAGTTTGCCTCGAGAGCTAAAGTTTCACATCGCATAAGGTCAAATGAATGATTTTCATTATTAGCGTGTTTAACCACATTCGAGGATTCAGTTTGTTTTCTTATGTCTGACTGATGTTCCTTCATTCTAGTTTCCTTCTCTCTACCAGTTTCTTCAATGTAACATTTTTCACAATTTAGGCATGATATTTTATATACTAATTTCTTATTCTTTTCTGATTCATCTAGCCCTTTTTGGATGGGAAGAAACACACTTTTGATTGTGAACGTTTTTCTAAAGCATATATTAATTTGTAAAGAAGATATAAGTTTTTTACATATCCGTTTAATTCTTTAAGCTAATATGGTTGATCCTTGACCATAATAAGAGGGAAGAAAGTAAACTTCCTTCTTTTTCATTGATTCCTGTACTTGTTGTCGTTTAGATATCATTCTTCTAGTGATAATTTCTCCTCCACGTACGCCTCTTTTAATTAAATGTTGTGGATAACCATTCATCATTAACGTTTCTTTCATTAATTTAAGTTCGTCATTCTTTAATTCCTATGTTGAGCAAATTAGAAGTATACGAATAACCAACGTTCGAATTAAGCCTATTTTATATTCTCTGCATTGATTACTTTCATATAGTAAGTAAAGATTAGTACTGGTAGGTGATCTACACGATCTACATATCGTGGTATTATATTTATTATTTATATTATCTCGACTTATCAGTACGTCTAGGAAGGCCAATTTTTCGTTACATTTTTCGTTCAATTATAAATTCTATATTCGGGTGCCACTTATTAATTCTCATTAAGAAATCATTAATATTTTGTTGTTTTTTAAAAATGTAAAATATATCATCTACATATCTAATCCATACTAATGGTTTATTTGTTGAGAATTTATTTAGTTTTTGCTCAATATTTGACATAAATAAATCAGCTAATATTGGTCCTAAAGGTGATCCCATTGCTACTCCGTCGATTTGTATATATATTTTATCAAGAAATCTGAATGGAATGCCACATACAGCAATTTCTAATAATCGTTTTAATTGTGGACGAGTAAAAGGTATCGGAGGTGGAGTAGGCCTTTTAAATAACATGTCAAGAGTAATCTCTATAGCTTCATGAACAGGAACATTTGTGTATAAATTATCGACATCAAAACTAACCATTGTTAGATCGGAGCTATTTCGGATTTCTGTAATCTTCTTAACAAATTCGAATGAGTCGTGGATATAAGAAAAAGATTTTGATGATCGATTATTTTTAATGAGTTCGTAAAGATATTTAGACAGATCATGATTGTAAGATTCTATAGATGATATGATAGGGCGAAGTAGATAATTTAGTTTATGGATTTTGGGTTGACCATACATAGTAGCATAAGAGGAACAACTGGAATGAACACGATAATAAGTTTCCTTATCAATCACATTATAATTCAATAATTTTAAAATATACATATTCATGGATTTTTCTCTACTAATTAGTGGTGGCTGTTTGGTAAATTTAAATTGCCTCAGTTGGAGAATTACTTTCATCTTTTTAATATAATCTTTCTTGTCCAGTACAACGATAGAGTTGTTTTTATCTGCACGACAAATTACAATAGTATGATTAGTTTTCAAAGATTTAATTGCATTGAATTCATCATCACTAATATTCCTTATCTTTTTCTTTTTAACCGTTCTCATAAATATTTCTGAATAATTATACAGTTTTCGACAAATGATAGAGAATACATTAGGATGACAGTGCTTTTGAATTTTAAACGCGTTGAATTCCATATCAGTTTTAAGGTCGATAAAGTTAGTAATTTTGTTTTCGAAGCAAAAATCCCATCCTTTGCATAGTAAACGTTCTTCTGCCGGAGCACAGTGGGCAACTAAGCGGACATTAGGCCAAAAAGTCGATTTCGAGTGTTTTAAAAAATAAATAGTCCAAAATGTAGCCCTTTAAATTCTCTATCCAATGGTGTATAAATGTCTATTGTGAAAAT